TGATACCGCTCCGCCTGCAGAGAAACCGTGGAGAGATCTTATGCCAATGGACTGTGACAGAACTTCGACATCTATCTATTCGGTAACTTCCTAATGCCTTTTTTAGGGTTTTTTTTTGGCCTTCAGTGCTGCTTTTTTAAGAAAAATTTATTTAAAAAATGGCTTAAAAAAAGCGGAAATTAAGTGCGGTACAGAAGCTGTAAAAAAGGGCACAACTTTTTTGATTGCTACTGCTTCGTTGCTTTTTTAAACTGTCTTTTCTAAGAAAAAAAAAAATCAGTTCTGAACGTTGAGTTTGAGTTGTCTTCGAACTGTCTTGCGTAGACCGAATTTTTCCAGTCATATCGGTAGTATTATCATTTTTTATTGTTTCACTGTGCTTTTTTTGGGGTCATTCATTTATTTTTTAAAATTTTTGAGAAGGGTGTCTATGTTAGTTGCTAGTTGGCAAGATATCTCGTCGTGGCGCTAGAATGACTATGTTCTTGATGAGATAATGATACTTAACACATAGCAGTGTTTATTACCAAACAGCAAAATTTTGCCAAATGCTTCAAATCGAGAGAGGGATTGACCCGATAATTTTTATACCAGACGGGATGACGTCGGGATTGTCGCCAGGCTGAGCACAGGTGACTCAGTATTAGTCAGAGCATTCGAAATAATGGCCAGTTGCATGTTTGGTGATTTACAGCTATTCCGAGTATTCAGACAAGTAACCACGGTAGCTTGTGTATACTTTATATTTTTGTTCTGGATAATGTGAAATTTATCTGTTGACCGCTTTATTGATCCAGATATTCGTTGTCAAGTTTTTTTTTTTGCTTTTCTGTTCTTTGAAATAAATGCCAAACTTACCAATAAATCCAGATTAATTCTCTGAGATGCCTGTACTCTTTTATTTTCTATAATTTTTGATAATTTTTAGGATAGGTTGTGGTAGTTAATATTGTTTTATAATACCATTATAATATTTTGCTAATACCATTATAATGTTTTGGTAATACCATTATAATATTATCATTTAATACCATCATAATTTTTATCTCTCTCTCTCTTGTTCCTCCAACTTTAAAATATTTTCCGATTGGCATATTCTTCAAAACATGCATAATTCAAAAGATGAGATACTGCTTGCACTGCAAGCGCTGACACCACACAAAATGTAATTATGGGCAAAATATGCGCACATTTCAGGTATGTAAATGCAGTACTCCTGACTACAGCCAATATGCAAATTTGAAAGACTGGCTCAAAATAGGCATCCCGACGATGCGGGTAGCACGTGAGCTGCACAACACATTTGGCGCTCTCGTATACACCATTCAACTAATCAACCTCCTCACAGTCCACTTCGATATTTGCATACCGGGACAGGTACTCCTTGTGATGCAATAGTGAATTTTTTTGATTTCTTACCAAATGTTTGCTTCACATAATTCGCAGAACTTTCTTAGCATCAGTTTTATTATTTTTTTTTTTTTATTTTCCCGATTATTTTACAGTCCATTGCAATAATTTTAATGCTTTGAACAGCCCCCGTTTCGCTTTAAAACATATATTTGGCATATTTTAAGCCATAGGTAGAACTGGCAAGTTTTTCACGGTTTTTGCAACGGATCCTGTGCGAATTGGGAGTTAGCCTGCTGTTGTCAATCCTGACGTCTATTTTTATGCGTTTTTTGCTGTGTAACAGCAATACAAAACCCCTGTCCACGCTCGACCTTGCCTATTCAAATTCAGCGTCCCCGCGCTCTTGAGTATAACCTACGGCCTCGTGAAAATTTTGGCGGGTAGACTATTAACTCGGGAATCACGAAAAGATACTCACCCTTCAAGGTTTCGAATTCAGCTTTCATGCGTTGGTGCGTGAAATTTTTAACTGTTTTCCAATGTTTGAACTATTTTTGCATAGACTAAAGTACAAAGAGTGCGTGAAATTTTTAACTGTTTTCCAATGTTTGAACTATTTTTGCATAGACTAAAGAACAAAGCACTGGTGTGTGAAATTTTTAACTATTTTCCAATGTTTGAACTATTTTTGCATAGACTAAAGTACAAAGCATGAAAATCATTAATAGGCAATCGTTCGATGGGCCGAATTGCACAAAACGCATTATCGCACCGGCTAGTCTGTTGAAATTTTTAACTGTTTTCCAATGTTTGAACTATTTTTGCATAGACTAAAGCACAAAGCAGTGAACTGGTGCATGAAATTTTTAACTATTTTTCAATGTTTGAACTATTTTTGCATAGACTAAAGTACAAAGCAGTGAAAAGTTTTTAACTGTTTTTCAATGTTTGAACTATTTTTGCATAGACTAAAGTACAAGGAAGTGAAATCTTTAACTGTTTTTCAATGTTTGAACTATTTTTGCATAGACTAAAGTACAAAGCAGTGAAAATCATTTTCTTAACTGTTTTTCAATGTTTGAACTATTTTTGCATAGACTAAAGTACAAGGAAGTAAAAATCATTACGGGCAATCGTTCGATGGGCTGAATCGCACAAAACACATGATCGCACCGGCTAGTCTGGTGCGCGTTGCTATTTATTTGCTTTTGTATTTGTTTTTGCCGCGGGAGGGGGTTCACATTTCCCACTAGGATGTTTCACGTTTTCTCATTTGTACAATATCTGTAATCATTTTGACTTCTCTTTTTCCTGAAACATTTCTGCCCCTTGTCATATAAGGAGACAATCATACGACCTTAATTATGTTTGATTTTTTTAGATATCTTTTCAAGAATTCTCGCTGTGCAGGAAATGGCTAGAGGGCTTGTTCGATACGGATATTTTCAAGCTTAATCACGCGGTTGTGCTGCTGTGCTTAAGCCTAGGCATTGAGCCGAGCCATATCGACTCGCGTCGTCCACTGGCAAATCTCTTGCTTCTCAGTCAGCATGTCAGCAGTGCTGAATTTGTCGCTAAGGTATTTCTGTTCCAGTCTTTTATGTTTGATCTTCAGTTTTTAAAATACTGGTTGTTTTTTTCCTATGAAAATATTGCAAGATTTCAGGTTCAACATCACACGTTGACTGCTCAACTCGCAGATTCTCTTGAAGCGGATCTGAGGAAAATTTCTTGGGCTGAACGTGAAAGAGCGGTAATCGTTGCATTGGATTTTTGAGAATTTCGCAAGAGTTTTTTCACTATATGTGAAACTTTACTCCCTAGTTGTTGTTTCTGGACTCTCAGATTTGCTTTAAAATTCTAAAAATTTTCGGAATTTCGAGGGTTTACCTGGCTACTGACTAATCTCTTTATTGAGAGTAACTATTAGTCATATAGTGTAATGCCTTACTTTGCCCTGCATATTAAAGAGCACTTTTTTTTCAAATTTTTACTCTTTAGGACTAAAATAGGTTTTTTTTGGGCAGGGGAAGGAGGTGGGCATGGGGAGGTGGAGGTAAGAAAGGGGAACGGGGAAAGGGAGCGGGGAGGGTGGGGGAAGAAATCTGTGTTAATTTGGTCATATGTTAAGGTAAAGGGATGTATTTTGAGGAAGAGGTACAGGATTTTTCTGTAGCTCAGTGGGAAATGGGAAAAGGAACTAAGTAGCTCGAGCATTTTGATACGTTCTTCTGTCTTCCATCCCGTATCTTCTTTATTGGCTGTGGAACAATACTTCACTCTGTATTTTTGCACAGAAAGATAAAAATAAGTTCTATGATTCTAGTTAAAAATAAGTTCTGTGATGCTAGTCAGTGGCCCAAAATAAATATCACAGTTTGAGGGGGATGACGAATTTGGGGGGACGCCAAGGAATCATCATCAGCATTTTATATATATATATATATATATATATATATAT